TCTGAGCTTTTATATTTATATGTTTATACTTGGTTTTATTTAATGTGCCTTTTTCCGATCTTATTTGAGTGTATAAGTTTAAGAGTACTGGGAACCATCTAAAACTGAGGCTGTTTGGTTCTTTTAAATTTTACTACTATGAGTCAGCAAAAGGTGTAGTGATTAAGAGTATGGGACCTGGAGCCAGATTGCCTGGGTTTGAGGCCCAAGAACATGACCTTAGGCAAGTTCCCTAACTTCTTTCTGCATTGGGTTTCTTACTTTATTAAATGGAGCGTAACAATATTATCTACTTTAGAGATGTGATGATTAAATTATATAATATAGTTGCATAGTATGTATCAAATGTTACCTGTTTGTATTTTTATGATATAGTTGTGATTATATTTGATTTTTACAGGGTATAATTTAGTATTTTTGACATTATAATTTTGAGAATATTTGTATGTGTTTTAAGGAACCTCTATAAACCTTAATTCCAGGACATAGCCTTTTTTTTTAAACAATAAGAATGAGTCTATAAGCTATCAAGATAAAATAAAAACTTCTGGATGTGTGGGTGACTTGAGTATAAGAAAACAAGATCAATTCTCTCTTTTTCCTTCCTTTGTTGCTTGAGAATAGTGTGTGAATTTTTTTTTGCATGGTGTTCTTTTTGTGTGTGTAGACCAGCACTGTTCAATAGAATTATGATGCAATAATTTTAAATTTTCTAGTGGCCACATTAACGTGAAAAGAAATAAGTTTAATTAATTTTGCTAATATATTTTATTTTACCCACTGTATCTAAATTATTATCATTTCAACATATAATCAATATAAAATTATTGAAATAGTTTACATTCCTATTTTTGCATTAGGACTTTGAAATCCATTGTGTGTATTATACTTACAGCACATCGCAATTTGTGCTACATTTCAAGTGCTCAGTAGGCACATGTGGCTAGTGGTTACAGTGTTGGACATGGGGTATAGGGTATAAACTACTTTTAAATTTGTCCTTTTAACTTAGGGAGGGTTTTATGATATTTTGCAACAATTGATAAAGCTATCCGCATCTAATAGGCAGATAGAAATGTTAAGTTTCTAGTGTGAAAAGAGAGGTAGGGGAGGGGTTTGGATTTGAGAATGATCAGTGAATATATAGACGGTAATTGAAGTCTTGAAGTCAGGGGCAGAAAGAAACCATAATATTCCTAAGCATAAAGCCCTAGGGAATTCCTAGAAATGGAGCCAGGGATAAAATAGTGAAAACCCATAGACTAGAGATGCCTTGAAAAACAATGCAAGGGAGTTTTAAAGAGGCATGATTGGTGGGAATGCCAAATACCACAGTCTGGCAGAATATATAAGGAAATAGGTAAGAATACAAGGAAAATAGGTAATTATTTGGTCATTGCCAACCTTAGCTGTGGCCATTTCAGTAGAGTGATGGCTAAGGAAGCCAAATTGTGGTAATTTGAGTGTTGAAAGGAAGTTGAAGGGAAGACAATGAGCCTATATTATTGTTTTATGCAGGTTGACAGGGATAGTTGGTAGGGTTGAAAGAAGTGTGTTATTGATGAAGGAGAAGGAACAGTGGAGAGGAAAAGATTGAGGGTAGAGAAAAAGAACTAAACTGCTAGAATGCTTTAGAAAAGACATGAATGAATAGGATTCAGTGTACAGGTAGAGGGATGAGTATTGGAACAGAAAAGGGTCAATTATGAAAAAGGAGTGAGCGTTATGAGATAGGAGAATTTTGTATGATAGAGTAGGCTCTTTTGCAGGCAACAGCTAGTTTAAGTAGCAGACAGCTAGCTGGTTTAAGCAAAAACGGATATGTTGCATGCTACTTAATTTCCAGAAGTGCTAAGGAACCAAACTTGACTGTTAATAAGCTAGGAACAACACAAGCCAAGGGAAACATGCAGTTATACAATATTCTAGTAGCAAATTCACCATCACCTGCTACTTGGAACCTACGATACTATGGATCATTTAGTAGAATATTTACGTGATTGTCTCAGAAGAACAAATTGCCTTCACTACAAGATTTGATCTCATTGTAGGTGGTCACCACCTTGATGTGCTCACTCTGCCTTCTAAGTCTTACATGGATTTGTCTAGCTGGTTGAACCTGGGTCCCTTGTGGAAGCATGATGCAAGAGCATCTGGGAAATGTAGTTTTTAGCTTTCCAGGCCCTATAACACGGGAAGTTAGAGTGCATGCTAGAAAGGGGTTAGAGTGCAGGCTGGGTGGTTCTGGCTCTTGATCTCCCATGAGTTGCAGTCAAGATGTCACCCAGGGCAACAGTCATCTGAAGGTTTGACTTGCCTGGGTCATCCACTTACAAGATGGCTCACGCATAAGACTGAGTTGATTCTGGCTATTTGGCAAGAGGCCATGTGGGCTGCTCCGTTGGGCTGTTTGAGTGTCCCCGTGACATGGCAGCTGGCTTCACCCGGAGCAAGTGATCCAAGGGAGCAAGGAGGTAGCCCCAGTAGCTTTTAGGACCTAGCCTCAGAAGTCAGACACCCTCACTTCCACTGCATTCTGTTTTTCTTTCAGACCAACTCTGGTACAGTGGAAGAGGGGACTACACAAATGCATGAATTCCACGAGGTGAGGATTTGGGGGCCCTCTTAGAGGCTGGCTACCATGTCCCTCCCTGCCCCAACCCCACCTTTCTTTAACAGCAGAAATTGATCAGAAATTGTTCAGATTTGTCTGTAGAAGCAAAAACCAAAATTCTTTTAATTGAACAGAACTTGCCACGAATTTGTATAGATGTGATTCTTTGTTAAATATTAATGGTACACAGTGCATAGTGTCCTCCGCCGGTTTTTTAAAATAGTCAGAAATGCTGTTCAGTTACTTGTTCTCAGGCTTCTCTCTCTCTCTCTCTATTTTTTTTTTTTGGTGAGGAAGATTAGCCCTGAGCTAACATCAGTTGCCAATTCTCCTCTTTTTGCTGAGGAAGACTGGCCTTGGGCTAAAATCCATGCCCATCTTCCTCTACTTTATATATGGGATGCCTGTGACAGCATGGTTCCATAAGCGATGCGTAGGTCTGTGCCCAGGATCCAAACCTGCGAACCCTGGGCTGCCAAAGTGAAGTGTGTGAACTTAACCACTACACCACCGGGCCAGCCCCTCAAGCTTCTTTTCTTACGACAGGGCGTATATCATAAAATCATAACTCAGTCTGGGTGTGTGTGTTTTGATGCTTGGAGATAATGAGGTTGTGATCCTTTGTCTTCCACAATAGCTCTCCTGTCCTCATCTCTGAAATAAAGAGGTCTGACTACTGTCCCTATGGTCCTTTCTCCATCTTAATTCTCTAGACCCTGGCTAACTTTGAGAATTAGAGTGAACGTGTCTGCGATGTACTAGTTAGATGTAGGCCATTCTCCAACGCCTCGGTGACATCATCTTGTTTATTTCTTTCATACCATGTATCACAAATTGAAATGATATCGCTGGTATACTTGTCTCCCTGCATCCTTCCTCCCTTCCCCAAAATTAAGCTTCAGCAGGGCAAGCTTTGTCTTGTTCACCACTGAATTCCCAGCACTGGGTGCAATGCCTGGTACGTGCTCAGAGGTGAATGTCTAAATAAATTATTACTATTATTATTATTATTATTTGAGGAAGATTAGCCTTAAGCTAACATCTGTTGCCAATCATCCTCTTTTTGCTGAGGAAGATTGGCCCTGGGCTAACATCCATGCCCATCTTCCTCTACTTTATATGGGACGCCGCCACAGCATGACTTTGATAAGCGGTGCGTAGGTCCGCGCTAGGGATCGGAACCTGCAAACCCCGGGCCACCGAAGCGGAGCGCACAGACTTAACCGCTACGCCACCAGGCCAGCCCCTAAATAAATTACTTTTTGAGAGAATATACTACGTGATCATTATTTGCAACAGGCCATCTCAAAAGGTTTTTTTTTTTTTCTCTCCTACTTGATTTATGTTTTTTTGGCCTTTCTCTTATTTTTTATTATTATTATTTTTTGGTGACATCGGGATCATCTCTGTGGCTGTGAATGCTTTCTGGAAGGTTCTGTAACCTGGTTTCTTTCTGATATAGGTTATTCTGACTCCATGATTACTGTTTAAAATAATTCTTTTAAGAGATGTGTTTGGCAAACCTTCTGATTTTGTGCTACGTAATCTGTTTGGGAGCCACATTTCTTATTGCTTTGATAGCTCTTTCTTGTTGCTTGTCATAAAGGATCCTTTTTGGATGAGTTACTATGTCAGTTTTGACCCTGTCAGTATCAATATACTTAAGGATTCTGACTTTAATATATACAGAACAGGAAAGTGACGATATCCACCCTTGGGTATATGGTATTATCTTATTCTCTTCACTGTGCATGACTTGCAGAGAACATAGGACTGTAAGTTAAGTAACAGTTTAAACTTGATGTAATGCTCTCTCAGGAAGTAGTGTTCTTAAGATGTTTACCCCAAATCTACAAGTGTCTGTGCACCTTTATTGTTTCCCTGGGGGGAAAACCCCAAACCTGGACTGATTATTCATATGCATTCCAACCTGCCTCTGAGATTTTAGACTAACCTTAGCAGAGGTTCTTGACAGTTTTTTGGATTTTAGACCTTTTTGCAAATCTAGCAAACTATTGACCCTCTCCCCAGAGAGATATCCATTTACAAAACCCCACAAATTTTACATATATCATTCAGGAGTGTGTGGACTCCTGAAGGCCATCCATGTACCAAGGTTAAGGACCTCTAATCTGAATCATTATTATTGTTATTATTTTTTGAATTATAATTGATTTGGGAAATCCATGGAGAGACTGAAAAAAAGCTCTTATTGGTTAAGACTCAGAACATTTCTGTTCTTGGAGGTTCTTCTCCCATCTTGGAATATCCGGGAATCAGACTACTAGATCATTCAAGTCAAGACCTCTTGTCTAGGTCAGTTTTCAGAATTCAGGCTGGGTTTACTTTGAAGATAACTTTATCTTTTTCGTGATCTCACAGGTACCTCTGCATTAGCCAGATTGGACATATGTAAAGAGGGTCATCAGTATAGCTGGATCATCAGGTGAGCAAATGGGACTTCATTTTTTGTTTCTCCATCGATTCAGTCCTCTGGCAGTGTGTGGTCATCTACTCTTTACTGCAGTGTGCGTCAGTAAGATGATAAATATTTCGAAAGAGAAGGAAGCAGCCTTCTTAAGTTTTACCAGATCCTCTGCTGCTTGAAGTCAGATCTCTTTATTTTTATTTTATCTCATTATTATTTCATATACACATTTCTATAGTAGATAAAAATTTCCCACTCTTCGTTTTATGTATATACTTTGGAGAGTTGTGGATAGCTCTCATATTGCTCCTTGGTTGTCAGCCAAGTACTCCTAGTCTTTCTTTGTAATTCAGTTGGCTTGGCTGCTTTTTCTAGATTTTTCTCCCATTTCGTCTGCATCATTAATAAACAGAAAAAGCAGGCTATTGCCTAGCTTCTTCCACACCTTTCATTCTTTTTGCTTCCTGGTTTTGCCTCATACTCCTTGTTGAACTAAAGCCAGCCAGACATCATTCTCCGGACTACTTTGGCAATACATGAATGCCTCACCTACAACTATCAGTGTCCCATGCAGTAATAGCATCAGCAGTATATCCTAGAGGAAAGAAAGGACATGTAAAAGGAGAACAGTGAGGAGCAAAATAATGCGTTCTTTGATTACATGGCAGACTTACCCTTGCCACCCAGAGGAAATCATTGTACCTGAAGCCTTTACCACGGGTTTTGTCGTCCCAGAGTGTTGTGCACGGGCACTAATTTGAATAATACGAGAAGCGTGTATATTGTTTGATGTTTGGCCGCTGTTCTCACTCGATTTCTTCCCCACATTCTCCCTCCCCCACTGTCTTTCCCAACACTGATCATGACTTGCTATCAGAATCTGTGGCCGTGAACAAAACGGGGCAGGGGATCATTTTGTGGGAAATTAGACAGGCTCACGTGGTAAATGCACCATGCCTCCATGTGTAACATCTGAGGCAAGTGCTTTAGTTCTTGCTCTGTCTGTAACAGCCGTTGGTCTTCTTTTAACAGCTGATTCAGTAGAGATATGCAGGAGGAAGGGACTACTAGACCTTTGGTGCTATTCATCAATGCTGTATTAGTTTCACAACTTGTTCCCCACCTGATTGTCAGGGAGAAGCATACTGCTTCTAGATGATGCTGAGCTTAGTGTAAAATATGCCAGCATGAGATCTGGGCTTGTCACAGTTCATTCTTTCTTTTCATTTGGTTTGTAGAAAATGGACCGCTACCTTTACTTGTGTTGTGCATTAGAGAGAAAAAGGTCATACCTCTAGGAGCTAATGGCTTATTGGTGTTTTTAGTCACCAGATTCAGGTAGTATATTTAGTTGAAGCTTACAACAGCACACACTTGGCTTTCTCACTTGTGTTAGCTTTGCTTCTAGTACAGAATTGAATAGGATAGAGGAGACGGTTTTCCTGTTTGTGTCTGTGGCAACTTTCTAGATGATTTGTGGTTTAATTCTTTAAACATTTTTGATCATTTATCACCTCTTTCTCTGTAAAGGCATAAAATATTCAGATTCTAATGTTATAATCTTTTAATCAGATTATTTAATTTTGGAGAAATCAAGGTCAGAATAGCAACTGACACAGTTGCCTCTGAATAGTGACCTAAAAATTATAACACTTATATTAGTTCTTTTTTGTCAGATTTTATGGCCTTTCTTCATACAATCAGATTTTAAATAAGATTATGTGATTGTGAGTCATGTACTTCTTGGTCTCTGGCCTCTTAAACAGGTAAGTATATGACTTGGACCCCTTTGAAGTCTGATTTTTTAAAATGTTAATCTCTCACATGGCTTTTCAACTGTCGACAACATTGTACTCACGCTAATTTCTTTAGGCAATTGATCCATTCTTCAGCATAACTTTTGTTTCTTGGGTCTTTTCAAGACCTGTCAAAGAAAACAAAATGCTAACCTGACTTTAAAGGGACAAAAAATTCCTCCCCTCTGTACTATGTTATTCTTTGTTCTCTATGTGCATCAAAGTGACAATCCCACACTGTCTCAATTGAGGGAGTCTAGCACAAAAATAAAAAACAGCCTGGCACTGTTCTAGGCTGGCAGCCAAAATGTTTTGTGTAGCTTGGTTCTGGTGGTAGTTTTCATAGGGCGGAGGGTCTACCCTCCCAGCATCACTGAAGAAAGGCGAGCAGCCTTAGTCTTTCCTCCTTACACCATTTCTTTTCCCTCATCTTCCTCTTTCTTCATAGACGACCATCATGAAAAAATTTTTTTTCTTAAATAGAAACATCATTCTTCTTACAACTTCCACATTTAGTAAATGGCATTGTTTCTATAGAAGCTTGTGCTAAATTTGCCTTTTCCAGCTCTCTTAAAGATTTCCTTCACAGTTGCATTTTTGCCACACTTTTCAGAAAACCCTTCTGAATATTGCTAACTTTGGCCATGTTGACATGGTATTTTTGATTGGTTGGAATCTTGTCTTGCTTCACAGCTTATTACTTGAATGGAAACTCTTGAGTGATATTTGCTTGTATTATATGGATTTTTATGCCAAGATATCTCTTGCTGAGACCAAAAATCCTCTCATTGTTTTCTATTTTTGTCTAAAACTCAGGGTCAGTTCATATCTTTTAAAAATCGAATACTCATTTTTAGAATGTCTGATAAGTATTGCTAGATAAGCAAGTGAACTTCCATTAAATGTGCATTTAAATTTTTTTCCTTTGAAGTTAAAATGCAAGGTAAAACAAGTATTTTTAAATTTCTCAATTCTCTCTAAATTATAGTTGGTGACCTACTATTACAAGGGGTATGAAAATGTGGCATTGTAATTTTTAAGTGATGATTTGAGCAGGAGACTAGATTTTCACTATGAGCAAGCATTCTATGAAATTTCGTAGAATATTCCGCAAAATGTTAAAAGTGTTTTCTGTTGTATTAGGCAAAAACAAATGATTTACTTTCAAGCGATCTGTTTTAAGAATTAATATTGTTCAATCAAGATAAGAATAGTTCATTAAGCAGAATATGTTTTCTTAGGAGGAGATTGATATTATTTTGACTGATTTTTATTTTAAAAATTGTCAATGATTTTTGGCAATAAGAAAATTACTTTGGGAGGAAAAACTCTTGTATTTTCGTAACAGTGTAACAAATGTGACTGAAAAGAAAGTAAACAGTGGTTCGTGTTAGAATTATTAATGTGAAACATTTTTATATGCCATATATACTGGGAAATATATTATGGCTACATTAGGATAAACTTGTACAATCAGTTGGGTTTTTTTTCCAGATTTATTTTTAATTGAGAAAATGCTTTAAAATCATTAAAAGGATTTGTAGAACAAGTATATTAAAAGTATGCATTAAATAAACTCACCTGTTATTTTCTCTCATTCTCAAGACAGGTTCATCAACATCTTGGCTCATTACGTTAACAAAACAAACAAATACTCAAATTGCTTTGTGTGTATAATGCACATGTAATAAATGCTACGATTCCCCTGTTTTTGTTTTTTAATTGTATTTAAGTGGCTTTTTCTGTAGAGCAGCTAAAATGAGTATGGGTGAGATGCCTGTTAAGTTATATTAATTAAATATTTAGGTCAACATTTTAAGCTTACGAAGTATGACATTTTTGAGAAGGAATGCCAGTGAAACTGTTTTTTTTTCTCTTGGACCAGTTAAGTGCATGACTGTCTGTCTTGAATCCTCTGTGCCCAGGTCTGATAATATTAGAATTGGTGGTTAAAGATAATACAGACAAAAAACTCTTACATTCTGTGTGTTCACGTATGTTGAATAATGTTTGTTGTATATTAAATACTATTCATTCACTTTAAATATTACATTTTTCTCCACTGGTATAATTTTTATTTGCAGTTACACTATCTCTTCTGTGGTAAGAATATATCTTTCAGTGACTTAGGAATTGCAACATGAATTGTCCTATTTATTTGTTTATTCTGTCTATACGCAGAGGCATAGTAGAAATATATTTAAGACCTATAATGTTTGAGCAGTTTTTTTGGTAAATGCTGTTGAGTTTTTCATTTTTTCCAGGTAATATATTCTATAGTTTTGTTTAATTCAGAACACATATCAGAACTACTATATTTTTATAGTTTGATAATATATAGTTTACAGGAATTATGATAGAGTAACTTAATCATTATATTTGTAGAAACATAGAAAAATAAATTTATTAAGGGATGCCAGCAAAGTTGGATAGATTTGGACTAAATTTATTATTTTAACTAGGTTCTTGTTTTATTATATTAAATACCATGTTTATAATTATAACTAGTATTTTATTTCATTTGAATAAATCAGTACAGATTTTAAACATAATTCCTCAGTAGGGGATTTGAGTATCTTGTTTGATATCAAATATTAGTAACATATAATGACAAATAGTGATTTCTAAGTTGATGTGGTCAAAAATATGAGTGATCTTTCCTTAACCATATGGTACATACTTCAGTGTTAAAATTCAATAGAGAGTATTTCATGAAAGAGTATGTGTTAATTCAGTTTTTTTATTTCGCCCCTAATTTTTGATACATTTTAATTCCTCCTGCCTGACATCGTATATTATCATTCTGTAGAATACTTTCACAAGTATTTCATATGTTTTCTGTGGCATCTCACACTGCTCACTTTTTATCCATAGTACCATATGAGTTCCCCTATTTTCAGGTTTACGCTGCATATTTTAAGCTGCTGATAGTGTAAGTAGATTGCAAGGTAAAGTGACATTTAGCTTTTTGAGCTAGTCTCATTTTTAGCATGAGAGCAGGTTGTTGTTGTTGTTTTTTTTTCCATCCTAAATCTTCTCATATTTCCCATTAAAATAATCTTACTAACATGGAACAAAGAAATTCAGAGATTTGGCGACAGCAGCAATTGAAATGCATCAAAAAGTGGCTACTACAATACAGCTTTATTAATGAATGATCTACATTGGTTCCAGCTGTGTCCATGTGATTAGGCCTTCACCAGGCAACAATGGGTATTTCCC